CTGATGCATCATCCAGCTTCTGAATGTGCATGAAGCACACCTTAGGCCTCAAAGTGACGTCTTTGAGCATTTTAAAGAAGCTTTTGGTAGTCGATTAGTCCAGTGCAATATGATGTGTGATTTATTAACTGCTGCCTTCCTGGGAATTCACTGTGCATCCAAGTAAAACAAAATCCTTGACAACTTCCATCTTTTCTCCATTTATCAAGTTACTTACTGGTCCAGCTGTGAGGATTTCTGTTTTGTAGACGTTGAAGACTAATCCATAAGAAAGGCTATGTATGTGGTCTTGAAGCTTCATCATTAAGTGCTGCCAGTTCTGTTCACCTGTAGCAAGCCAAGGCTGAGTTTTCTGCAGGCTGTTAAAGAGTTTCCTAATCCTGATGCCTCATTCTTCTTTAAGCAGCCTGTTTCTCCAATTATTTGCTCAATATACGTACTGAACAGTTAGGGAGAAAGGATAAAACCTTGCTTGCCCTTTCTTCATTTAAAACCATGCAGTTTCTCCTAAGTCTGTTTGAACTATTTCTTCTTTGTCCATGTACATATTCCTCAGGACCACACCGTGTGCCCTGGAATTCTTATCCTCCCTTATTAACCGTCGTCTGTTAAGATCCACACATTTAAATGCCAGTGCAGAGTCAATTAAACACAGATCAACTTCTCGTCTGGTATTCTCTGCTTTCAGCCATGATATTCCTCGTTCTATGGCCTCTTCTGAATAAAGCGTGAATTTCTGACAATTTTATTTATTGGTGTAACCATCTCTGAATTATACTCAACAAGATTTTACTTGAGGGTATTAAAGACAGTGTTCAACAACCAGATTTCAATACATTTCTCTTAGTAACTGATACAGGAAAAAGGCACATACTTGGTAAAGACAGAGAAGATCGAAGCAACATTTCTAGCCACCTGACTTAATGGTCACAGACAGGCCTGGTATCTGTGTTCTTCTAAATTATTCACACACCATTTACAAAACCTGACAGCAGTGGGCGTCAAGCCAAGTCTCAACAAATTTTGAAGGAATTAAATCATACAGAGGTGTCCTTCTGGTGCAATGGGTAAGCACTTGGCTATTAACTTAAAGGTCAGTGATTCAAGCCCACCAGTCGCTCTCATCTCACAAGGATTACAGCCTGCAAATGCCGATAAGGCAGCTCTACTCTGGACATGGAATTGTTATGAATGGAAGATCTGCTAGATGGCAAAAGGTTTTTGAAAATCACACAGAACATGTCCACAGTGCAACGTACAACAAAAAGCTAACGGGAATCCTGTCCATTCACAAACCGAGAAATGCATCTCCAGTAACTTAAAAGTGAAACTACGATGAAAATTAGAAACAATTTCTAACTATTGACAATAAACACAATTATGGCACAGAATGAAACCACTACACAGGCTTAGAACTGAAAGAGGAGAAAGGCTGAAAATTTCTATTCGAAGAGTTTTTCAGACATCAAATAATCCTAAAGAAAGTATAAGAAGAAATACAGAGCAGAAAATAATTCAACAGAAGACAAGTATGTAATGTTGCTGTTAGGTGCCAGTGAGCTCAGAGTCAGAGTGGTCCTATGAACATAGACTCCCTGCCCTGTCCGGAGCCAACACACAATCTCCACCACGTTCATGTCCACTGTTAGGTCACTGTCAACCCATCTCATTGAAGGTGCTCCACTCTTTCACTGACCCTTCACTTCTCCAAGAAAACATGCAACATACAAGACTGATAGACTCTAAAGTTGTTTTACTGGAAAGCTAAACCAAACAAACCAGACCAGGAGCTCTGGAGTCAGTCAGTGCTGATCTAGGGCTGACACGGCATGACGTACCATCATAAACCCCTGTGAGCAGGCAGATGGAGGAGGAGGTGTGAAAGATGAAGAATATAAAAACGCACCATTAAGAGATAACAAGGGAAGTTTTTAAACAACTCTATTCCAGCACATTTGAAGATTTAATTAGAGAAAATGGAAAAATCCTTAGAAAGACATTCCAAAATAAAAACGAACGAAAAAATAATTTTAGAAACCCCACATCCTCTTGTAACCTGATAAAGAACTTGATGTCATTGTGGAGAATCTTCCTACAGCACAGCCTCCAGGCCCACAGCCTCATGGCGAGTTCTCGACTAGATCCCTGAGGAAGAAATCGAGGATGGGGGACTACCTCTTCCTGAAAACAAGAGGCAACACCTGCTCCCCACTGCTGCAGTCACATATCAATCTGACATGCTGGGGTGGGGTGTCTCTCTCTTGGTCGCTGGCTTTCCACTTTACCAAGCATGCTGGCCTTCTCCAGGGACCGGCCACTCCTATCCACAGGCCCCAACGAAGCCCGACCAACCTCCCTGCCAAGGTGCACTCTGCGTGTACCCCTTTCACGACTCCCCAGACTTTATGTGCGATGCTCCACCAACATCGCGATTCATAGGCTTCAATTCTTCACTCTCCTGCTCTGCTCTCCTCCTGAGCGCATCCAGGGTGGCTGCGAGCATCCTGGCTCGGCTCACTGCACCTTGTAGTGGCTGCTGTTCTGCACCACTCAGCTGGAACAGAAATCGTGGCCTATCCTGCGCCACTGCCACATCTTCACCGGGTCAAGTCCACTGTTACAGTCACTGTCAATTCATCTCATCGAGGGTCTTCCCCTCTCTCACCCACCCTCCAGTGGGTTTTCAGAGGCTCTAAGTGACACAGGAGAGTGCCCAGCTTTTCCCCACAGAGTGGCTGGTGAATTCGAACCACATGCCATTGAGTTTTCAGCACAACTCCTTACCACTAAGCCACCAGAGCGCCCTTTCATAGCTGGACACGAGCTCACAGGGGCTCAGGAGCACACAGGAGAAACAAGTCTCCCAGCAAGAAGGTATGTGTGGCATCAAGTGGTCCAGCCACTTCATGCCGAGAACGCTTCTCCCAGTCAGGAAGAGCATGGTCAGTTCCTGCAGGCTGAGGCAGGCCCTGACCAGTCCTGTCCGGTCCCTGGCTGCAGTGGGCTCAGTTCTGACGGAGAACGGATCACGGGCTCAGTGAGAGGCAGGCCAGGACTCAGGCCTCCAGGTCCTCCCGCACAGAGCTTTGCCTTCCAGACAAACCAACCCACCTCCTCCCCACTCTGCCTGTGACCCCTGTAGGATCAGAAGATCTGTGGTCACAGGGTCACCCTGCTCCTCCCCCTTCTGGTGAACATTACCTACATGATGGGCACAGTAACCCCTCCACTGCCAGGTTGGGGAGGCCTCCAGGGAGCTAGTGGTTGGACTGGGTAGCCCCAAGACATGTGATGCAATCTCAAACCCTACACCTAGAGTTGTTGTTGTTATGTGCCATCGAGTCGTTGCGACTCATAGCGACCCTATGTACAAGAGCTCTAAAGCTGCTCTATCCTGTGCTAACCCAGCCATCCCAAATGCACTTATTCTCACTGCTCCAGTCACAGAATCGATCCATCTCATCAAGGGTCTTCCTCTCCTGCTCCGCCCCTCCACTCTCCCAAACATGATGTCCCTCTCCAAGGACCAGTCCCTCCTTGCAACATGCCCAAAGTATGTCAGACGAAACTTCAGAATCTTTGACTCCAAGGAGCATTCCGGCTTCACCTTCTCCAGGACAAACCTGTTTGTTCTAGCAGTCCATGGTATATTCAACACTTTTCTTCAGCACCACAGCTCAAAGGCATCAATTCTCTTTCTAGCAACTCTATTCACTGTCCAACTCTCTGATGCATAGAACGTAATTGTGAAGACTATAACCCGGATCAGGCACACCTTAGTCTCCAGTCTGACGTTGTTGCTCTTCAGTACTCTTGAGAGGTCCCTCACAGCTGACTTCCCCAATGCAATTCGTTTCTTGATTTCCTGGTTGCTGTTACCAAGAGTGTTGACTGTGGAACCAAGCAAACTAAAACTATTAACTATCTCAATCTCTTCGCTATCCATACTGATATTGCCAATTGGCCCAGTGGTGAGAATCTTTGTTTTCTTGATGTTGAGCTTCAATCCCTATAGGAGGCTGTAGTCCTTGACTTTCTGCAGCAAGCGCTTCAGGTCCTCCTCAGTTTCAGCAAGGAGGGTTGTGTCATCTGCATTAACGCAGATTGTTGATGACTCTTCCACCAATCCTGATGCCACATTCCTTTTTGTACACCCAATGTCTCGGATGATCTGTTCTGCATACAGACTGAAAAGTTACGAAGACAGAATACATCCCTGACGGATCCCCTTCTTGATTTTGAACCATGCAGTGTCTCCTTGCTCTGTTCTGACACCTAGAGTATATTCCTATATTTAGGATACAGGTGTGACAGCTGAGCCAACCTAGACCTGGAGGGCAGGGCTCTACCTAGGACACAGGTGTAATGGCTCCAACAACCCAAACCTAGAGCACTTAGGTCTCTACCTAGGACACAGGTGTGATGGCTCTGACAACCAAAACTTAGAGCACAGGACACAGGTGTGATGGCTCCGACACCCCAAACCTAGAGCATATAGGGCTCTACCTAGGACACAGGTGTGACGGCTCCGACAACCCAAACCTAGCGGGAAGCAGATATCAACTTAGGGTACAGGTGTGACGGCTCAGAGCACCCAAACCTGGAGTGGAGGTAGGGCAGAGGGGTGAGAGCTCAGGCTGTGGGATCCCATCTGGGACGAGGTTTCCTCTGCCATGTTCCTAGTTGCCGTCAGTGTAGAGTGTGTCCTAAACCTCATCTCCTCTAAATAATAAGGAGCAGATCAGACGCACAGGAACTGCCAGAATATGAAGCTGAGGAAGACGAGTACCCCATGAGGATGACCAAGGCTAATGGGGCCACCAGGCCGTGCCCCTCTGTGTCTCTGAGCGCCCCCAGGTAGGAGGAGCACCTGCTTACCCCCCGGGATGAGGGTGAAGCTGCTCACTCCCTGCTTTAATCAGACCTCCCCACCTCGTGCCCTGGGAACAACCCCCCAGAACATAGTCAGGGGCCAAGGGTGAGGTCGGCTGCAGGCTTACTTGGGGTTCTTGATGTCCGTCATCTTGGTGTGCTCGCCAAACTCCCGCTTCAGAAACTCCTCCAGGGGCCCCGACTCATAGGGCCGCGAGCCCCGGAACACCTCGTCCTTCATGCGGAAGTACACGCCACGCATGTAGGCCATGGACTTGTCTAGGACACAGTGGTCAGTGGTCAGCGACGACTCCCAGAGGGCCAGCAGGGGTCCACTCCAGAGGGGACACTAACCAAGTGGCAACTTCTGCACCTTCCCTCTCGGGCAAAACCCAACAACCAGTGTGCTGTGCACTGGGCTCTTTCATTACTGTAGTAAAAGACACAAACCGTAAAATCTGCCCTTTTCAACAGCACCCGTCAGTGGCACAGGCTCTGTGTACCAGGGACACTTCTGAAACAGATGCTCCATGCTCATTAAACATGGCCTTTCATTTGGTCTTATTCTTATAGTCAGTCCTGACCTGAACGTTATAAACCCCAGGCTGCATGAAAGCTGGGCCACTGTCTGTCCGTCCGTCAGAGTGAACAAGGAACAGCCCTGACCTCTCAGAGTACATGGAATGAAACTGGTAGAGTCACAGGGACAGAGAGAAGGTGATATGTCTCTGGGTCAGAGCTGTGTTGGGGTGGTGGAGGCGAGGAGACACCACAGGTTTGGGAAAAGGGATTCCTGTCCACGGGAGAAGCCGGCCTCTGACTTACCCCTTCAGAGTTCTCTGTAGTCTAAAGATGGGGAAGAAATGTCCCCTGAGGAAGAAAGTGGCTCTTTGCTGAGAGGCTGAGGCTCCCTGCTTCTCTCTCAGTGGCCTGAGGACGGTGGGGACAGAGTCCAGGGAAAGGTGCCAGGAAGTGAGTGCTGTGGGGACAGTGCTGGGTGGACAGTCCTGGCTCTGCCCTGACCCACTGGATCCCGACTCTCTGGTCCTCAGTTTCCCTGTCAGGTGGTCACACTCTTCTCACCTCACAGGGCTGATGAGAATCACCAAAATGGAGTGCAATGCCTGTGGGTCAAGTGTCGCAGACTGGCTGCCGTCTGCCGTCAAGTCGGACAGACGCCTGGCTGACCCTCCAGCGGGTTTTCAGTCAGTAGACTGCACCGGAGGAGCCTGCCCACCTTTCCCCATGGAGCAGCTGGTGGATTCCAATCACATGCCCTTCTCTGGGTCGGCAGTGAAGCGGCTTAGCCCTGGGCCACCCCGGCTCCCTCCACGATGAGAGTCTTAAGCTAGTCACAGATCAGTGAGCCCTTTGAGCCCTTTCCCCGGAGCCCTGGGGCCCTCTGCTCAGCAGCTCCCTGGCTGTGGGTCAGGCTCCTCCCCATACTGTCAAGGAAACACCTATCTTCCCCACCTCGGCACCCCTTAACTCAGCCCTGCTCCCCAGCACCCTGCACAGGCCTGGCCCACAGGTTGTTTTCTGGACCGTGGACACGGAGGCTCTGGCCCTGATGGGGCCTTAGACAGCATAAAATGCAACCTGCGCTGGCGGGACTCTCCAGTCATCGGTGCTGAGGCCGCAGACAATTCCCACCTGGGTGGTGACCGGCCTCTGGGTGGTGACCGGCCGCAAGGGGTGCTGGGAGCCTCTCTGGCATCCCATGCCCGCACAAGGCCCCACCTGAGGCAGACACTGGCCTGTCCACAAGACTGTCCAGTTTGCATGGGGTCTCCTCAGCCTTCACACAGCTGGGGGGTGGGGGGATGCAGCCTGTGGCAAGTTCTGGGACTTAGGTTCTGGCCTGAGCAGACCCACTGAAGAGCCTTTAGGGTCACCATGTCCCTAACCTGCAAGCAAACTGAAGGAGGAGGACCAGGGCTCGTACACTCTGGGACTTGAGGCTCCTGGGTCCTGAGGCCACCACCCTCTGCCACTAGGATGGCTTCTTTGTTCTGGCAGGTGTTAGGACCCTGGGGCGCCTGTCCTGCCAGGGTGCAGGGAGGGGAGCGGGCAACCAAGAGAAAATGGTTCACTCGGCAGAAATCCGTGGCAGTGGTGGCTTGAAGTCCTCAAGAAGGCAAATGGGTAAGTGGCGATCTACTAGCTGAAACGGTGGTGATTCAAACCCACCCTGAAGAGCCTCGGAAGAAGGGCCTGGTGACCTGCTTCCTAAAGGCTCCAGAGCCCCAGAGGGCAGCTCTGCTCTGCACAGGGGTCAGCACTGGCTCAAAGCGACCATCAGCAGGACACACAGTGCAGTCCGTGTTGCTGAAATGTCCACGCAGGACTGGCACGTGGTTTGGTGTGGGTACGTTCACCAGTTTATAAAGAAGTGCTTTCCACGCTAAAAGAAGGCGCAGTGACGTTCTGGCCTCTGAGGCAGGCCCTCTCCTTCCCGCCGCAGCCCCACACCCTCGCTGCCTTCCTACACACGCCAGGCTTGTGTCTTATGGCCTCTGTTGCAAAGTTCTGAAAGCAAACCTGACCTTGTTTGAGGACAGGCCTCACCCCGCCCCGGCCGACTGGCCGACCCCCGGGGGCTGTCCTCACTGTGCAGAATGGCCAGGGCCAGGATGCCCCCTGTGCTGGTCCCGGCCACCCAGTCGAAGAGGTCCTTGGAGGAGATGCCCGAGGCCTTCTCGATGGCGATGAGGAGCTGAATGATGACCAGGCCTTTCACGCCCCCTCCGTCCAGGCACAGCAGGTGGTCATGGCTGGGGTGGGGGGACACAGGCAGGAGACAAGAGAGGCCGTTACAGCCTTGGGAATGGTCAGCACGTCACACTGTCCCCTCACTCAGGAAACGGCCCCAGGGCGCAGCACCATAGCATACAGACGGTGTGAAACCAGGTAAGGCCCTGCCCTCACAGAGCTCACATACTGCTGGGGAGTCAGGAGTCCTGTTACAGATCAAACTGTGCCCCCTAAAGTATGGACTCTAAGTCCTAAAACCTCTATGCGGATGTCATCCCTTTGGGGAACAGGACTCTCTGGGTTATGAGGTCATATCCATACAGGGTAGGTCATCTCTGAGCTATAAAGAGAGCAGGTCAGGCCCAAGGAGGCCAGGAAGCTTCTGTGGGGAAGACAAGTGCCACCTGAAGATCCTCAGAGACCTGAGGAAGAGAAGCTGAAAAGGATCAAGGACGTTCCCCACAACTGAGAGAAAGCCTTCCCCTAGGGCTAGTGCCTCAACCTGGACTTCCAGCCTCCCAGGCTACGGGTGTTCCTGTCAAACAGTCCACGGAGAGCCGTGCTGTTAACCCAAAGGGGAGCCTCTGACAATGTGAATCCACAAGTCAGTCGCTCCACAGGAGAAAGATGGGCCACTTTCTGCATGTGACCTGTGGCCTCAGAAACTGAGCAGAGGGTCAGCGATGTGCTGGTTCCAACTCAATGGGAATGAATGAATGAATGAATGAGTGCTCCAGAGTGAGAAAGGACGTGTCTGGTTACTGAAGGCACCCACCGCACTCATGTGTCTCCACAGGCCCAGACAGCTCAGTCAGCTGGCCGTTGCTTACGCTGAGTCAGAACCCACCCACAGCTGACCCTCCAGCGGGTGTTCAGAGGCAGTAAACTGCAGAGCAGGAGACTGCCCATCCTTCTGAGAGCAGCTGCTGGATTTGAACTGTCAGTCTTTGGTATTGCAGTGCAGCTTCTTACCACCAGAGCTCAGTCAGGAATGAAGGGGAAAGATAGTAAATGGAGTGTGATAAGTATGAAAGGAAAACCAGGCAGGCCAGGAGAAAGGGAAATATGGGGGGGGGCTCACCCTGAGGTATCACCTCAGCCTGTCCCCCCATTCAAGAGGGGGCTCCCTGAGGACTGGACTTGAGTTAGGTCGTCCCAGCACCGGGCCTGGCCCCTATGAGACGCCTGATAAAAGCCTGTTGGAATGAAACAGGCCAGGGATGTGTTACAGATTGAACCGTCCTCTCAAAATACGTCTTGACATCCTGGCCTCTCTACCTATACACAAGAAACAGTGGTTATGTTAATGGGATCACATCTAAAAAGAACAACAACAAAATTCCAAGTACAACTGAGTTGATTCCGACTCAGCAATCCTGCAGGTCAGAGCAGAAGAGCCGCTGGAATGCCAAGGCTCTAAATCTTCACAGAAGTGGGTGGCCATCTTTCTCCCAAAGAACGTCTGGTAGGCTAGAACCACAATCTTTTGGGGAACCGGTGAATGGTTAACCACTGCACCACTGGGGCTCTTTTCTACAATTAGGGTAAGTTTTAAATCCAGTAATTTTTTAGTTATAGGAAGAACAAAATAAAACACACATAAAGACACACACACAGAGACACTGGAGTCTCATTTAAGGCCAAAGAACATGACGAAATGCCCAGGGCTTCTGGCAAGGAGCCAAGAAAACAAAGCCTCACCCCTGCTCCAATGAATAGGCAACATTGTGAGAAGGGAGAAAAGACTGAAGTTGGTGATGATTTTGTTTTACTTGGATCTGTATCTACGCTCATGGTAGCAGAAGTCAAGAGTAGATAATGACCACTGCATCGGAAAGGATGAAAAAAATAACTGTTTAAAATGAATATATGATTAGGCATTGTACATACAACAGCCCAGAAAAAGAGCTGTATCACTGCAAAGAGGACTGGAGGAGGAAGGTAGGTAATTGTGCAGCAATGAATGAATATTTTCAAAAAAAGTGAGCTGGGGAAGAGGGAAGGGAGGGCGAGGAGGTAAAATGTGCAACAATGAATGAATTAAAATCTAACTTCTCTATAAATATTTGTTAAAATAACAAAGTAAAATTTTAAAAAAAGAAATCAGAAGAAAAGTCGCACTGGGGAAATCTGCTGTCAAGGACTTCTCTAAAGTACTAAAAAGCAAGGAAGTCAGATTAAAGACTAAGGGGCAACGGAGCTCTGGTGGCCTAGTGGCAAGAAGCAGTGCTAAAATCACAAAGACATGCGGTTCAAATCCACCAGATGATCCACTGGAGAAGGAGGGGCAATCTCCTCCTGTGCCAGTCAAACCTGATTCGATGATACACAACAACAACAAAGACTAAGGTGTACCTGATCCAAACTTGTGGCCCCCTCTGTATGTGAAAGTTGGATAATGAATGAATAAGGAGTGAAGAACAATCAATGCCTTTGGGGTGTGCTGTTGGAGAAGACTATGAAGTACCTCATGGGCTGTCAAAAGAACAAGGAAGTCTGTGGGTGACACTCCGTCTCATGCTCTGGGCATGCTCTCAGAGGAGGCCAGTCCTTGGGAAAAGGCCATCACGCAGGGAAAGGCGGAGGGTCAGAGAAAGAGTGGAGAGCCCCACTGAGGTGGACTGACAGCCACTACAACAACAGGCTCAAATATCTCCGAGACGATGAGGACGGTGCCAGACAGGGTAGGTGCGGACGTGTTGTGCATCGGGCCACTGTGAGTCACAGTCGACGTGGTGGCACATAACAGTAACACCTGTAAGGAAGGGACTGGCACTGCTGAGGGACTCACTGGAACTGGGAGCTTCCAGAACTGGGAGAAAGTAAATTTTGTTCTTTACAGCCACCACCTTGTGGTGTTGGTGCTACAGCACAAGAGGACACTCGGACAGGAAGGAAGGGCTGGAGCCGTACCGGTGGTTGGAGCACAGTGGTGGACGAGGCGCGGATGAGTCCTGTGGACTCTCCTCCCTCAGCCTGCCCCGTCACTCTCTCTCAAAACATCAGGCTCCCTGTTGACTCAGTCCCCGCTGTAGGAGACCTCAGCCCACCATGGCTCCTGGCCCTCACCCCACTTACTTTCGCCTCTCGCTCCGCACTGAGTTCGCGATGAAAGCTGGCTTCTTGGTCCGGGCTATGTGTGAGATGTCCTGCAGCTCTGTGGGGCACAGGGCAGGCGATGCTGGGCTGGGTTACTTCACCAGCCCACTGACCCCTGTCTGGTGCTGCAGGGAGGGGATTCCTCTGTCCCACCAGCTCAGGGTCCCCCCTCATTGTCTTCCTTCTGACCCACCCCATGTGTGTCTTGTTCAGGTCACAAAGTACTTCATGCTGCTTCAGGTAAGAATTATTATAGCTGAGGCTTCAGGGCCCACCGGACTTGTTGAGGGTCATCGAGCCACAGGGCAGGGGCAGGCCATCCTTCAGGGTTTAACCTTACGGATGGCAGGCATGGGATCCTAACCACTCTTCAGATGCCCCTCATCTCGATCCCAGGTCTGGAAACCCACAGGGCTTTCCTAAATTGGATCCACCCAGCCACTCTACCCACATTTCCTCATGCCTCAAGCCCACTCCTCATGCCCATCCAAGCCATATGCCCACCCCACATGGCCAGCTGACCCTCCTGACAAGCAGCCCAGCCCCCAGGTGCCTGGCCCAGCAGTGCCACTGATTCTGTTATCGCAGGCCTTCATGCCACTGGGCAGAGTCTAGTCTAGAAGCAGCAAGTAGCATGGCCGCAGTGGCCTGGCGTCCCCTCCCCAGGGCAGCAGCTTGAGCAGCAAGGCGTGAGCCGGAGCGGCCACAGCAGGAGAGTAGGGGATGGGTTGGAGGTGCTGAGAAAAATGGACAGCAAGAATGAGGGCAACAGCTAATCCTGGCCCAGCCGGGCCTTGCAGCCTCTTTGCCCAGGCAGGGCATTACCCACCGGACAGTGTGCCCCAGGCCCCGCCGTCCAGCCTGGCGTTGGGGACTGCCTGCCTGCAAAATTGAGATAAAAATGGGAGGTGGTGGAGACAGGACCTGGAGGGTTGGACAGGGGACAGAGAGAGCCAGGAGGACGGCTTATGACCACTAGCCATCTGCCTCCATCAAGTTCCAGGCTGAACTGGACCATCCTGAGTTGGTGCTGGTGTCTGCTTCCCCAGTGGTAACAAAGAATGTTGGCATGCCAAAGATGGGCTCCCTATGGCCCTGCTCTACGGACTGCATGCCCCGTCGGGCTCCTTGTGAAAGCCATTCCACAGTGGCACCCGAGAACCTTCCCTGCTCCTGGAGGATGTGGCCCTGGGCAGACAATGCCTGCAGTTCACCCAGTGGCCAGCAGGGGCGCTCAGGCCTCGGAACCCCACAATGTCAGAACTGGAGGCTGCTCTCCCCACAATCCTCACTGAGCTACCCGGGGAGACAAAGAGACAGTGAGAGGAGCCACCTGGGGTGTCACAGGAGTGCCCAGACTCTAGAGCAAGGCTGGGATGCCTCTCAGGGGCAGTGGGCAGCGATGAGTCCGGACATCAGACCTCTGAGATCGATGGCTCCCCAGCCCAGGGAGGCTGACAAGTCTCACCCCATCCTCCCGTGCTCCCCTTCACCCCAGCTGCTGGGAGGTGAAGTGGCCTACCTAGGTTGTTTAGGCTGATGGAAGGGGCCTGAGCTGTGTCCAGGGAGATGGGGTGCTGCGCTGCTGCGGAGCCCTGCTCCATGGGGACCCCTGGGATGAGGGGCAACTGGTAGTCGGCCCCTAAAGTTTTCAGCAGAGTTAAGAGCGTCCTCCTGGTGACAACTTGTCAAGGGGAGATGACATATCAGAAACGATGTCAGCATGCAGCTAGGAGGCCCTTCCCCTCTCCCCAATCGAATGGGCTGTGCTGACGCTGGTGTCAGATCCTGGGGAGCTTCCAGAAGCCACCAGGGAAAATTGAAGGAGGGACCAGTCTTGACTGGCCTTGTTATTTTGCAGACCACTTTCTTCTTTTCTATTCCAGTTGAGAAAGCACCCCGTCCTCTGGGTTTGCTGGTGGTGGTGCCATCGAGTTGACTATAATTCATGAGACCCCAGGAATAACTGGCCTGAAGCCTGCCCTGTTCTGACCCACCCTCATCGTCTCTGATAAAGCTCAAGCCCACTCTTGGTCACTGCGTCAGTCCACCTTGTGGTAGGCCTTCCTCCCTTTCTCGGATCCTCTCCCTTTCCCGGTGTCCTGTTTGGGGCTTCACCACCCCCTCAAAAATCGCTGCATGGACCGTCCATTTCAGAATTCTAAAGGAGCTATGGTGTCAGCCAGCGGGTCAAGGAGGGGTTAGGGTCACCTTTGTTTAAACAGAGGGGACAACAAAAAAAGATGCCACAGAGCACACAGCGTAATACACACTGTCTGCAGTAACCTCACAGCTCCCCAAGGACCCCCAAAGGGGGCGCCAGTCTCCTGGTGAGAGGGATTTGCGTTCTCTAGCTCTGACGCAAAGGCTCACCTGCCTGTGTGAGCAAAGGACACATGCGCACATGCTGAGTATATATACAGAGATGTGAACACGCTGAGTGCGTATATGAAAAAATGTACACACAGTATGTGTGTGTATACATACATGCACACATGTGTACATGCTATGTATATATATGTACAATACGCACATGCTACGTAGGTATACAGAAATGTGCACATGCTCTGAATGCATATATTTATATGCAAAAATGTGTGCAGTTTGTGTGTGTATAAACACACGTGTACACATGCCATGTATATAATGCATGAACAATGTGCACACGCTATATATATACAGTAATGTGCACACACTCTGTGTGCAAATATTTATCTGCAAAAATGGGCACACACAGTGTGTGTATATATATATACATGAGCACATGCTGTGTGTGTGTATATACATCCACAATGTGCACACACTCTGTGTGCAAATATTTATCTGCAAAAATGGGCACACAGTGTGTGTATATATACACATGTGCACGTGCTGTGTGTGTGTGTATATACATCCACAATGTGCACACGCTATGTGTGTGTGTATACATGTACACATGTGCACACGGGATGCATAAATGCAGATGTGTACATGTGTGTATATATGCATACATGTATACTCTGTGTGTGTATATACATGTAGGCATGCACACACACTGTGTATAAGCAGACATGCTGTGGGTGTGTATGTATACATATATATGTATATATATACATATATATGTATACACACACACACACATACAGAGATACTATGCACACACAGGCATGCACGCGGGCCATGCAGTGCAGTGCATGCACCCACCCAATGGCTGTACTTGGGGGTGGCCCCACCAGTGAACTCTCCAAGCAGGGATAAGGCAGTTTCTTGCTTGCCCTAGCCCCAGCCACGCTGGGAGTCCAGGCACCCTAGGGTGGGATGAGGGGCTGCCCAGAGGACACTGGCTTGGCAAAACCCTTGGTGGACCTCCTTGCCTGGACGGGAGCCCTGGCCCTGGAGAAGGAGCTGCGAGCACCCCCTCAAGGCCTCCCGGGTGTTCCCACCCACTCTGCACAGGCCACAGCTGGTGGGATAAGGACAGTGCTCCGGCACCTGATGGCTGGGGCCCCACCTTCCTCTTTCTTGACATCTGCTCCCACCTCTGCCCACACCCAAGCCTGTCCCAGAAAGCACAGCACATACGTTTGCTGATCTTGGAGGCTATGAAGGCAGGTGTCTCCCCAGCGTCATTTGGGGTGTCCACCTCGGCCCCAAAGACAATGAGGGCCTTGACCATCTCCACGTTGTCTGTCTGTTGAGAAAAGAATGAGATAAAAACGCAAAACAGCTCAGAGAAGTGAAGAGAAAAGGACTCCAGGCTGCCTGAACCAAGTAAGTGGGTTCCTACCCCGTGTGGGGGCCAGAGCCCTTGTCACATCTACACGGTTGCCCAGATATTCCAGAATTTCCATCTGGAGCTCTGAAACAGTCTTCAAACAGTACATGTGTAATTCTGAGAACCCAGGTGGAAACTGCACCACCCCCACCTCCACCCCACCTGCTCCAAGGAAGCAATGTTCTCTGATCCAGGAGCCATGTGGACACCGGAGGCTCAGCTGTTGACTTCCAGGAGTAGGAGTGGAAGGATAAGCAGGAAGGAAAGGCCACCTCCCTCTCCTGGCCAGAATGTCATTTCTAATTGGAAGCCGGGCACTGTCAGTAGCTTTGAATCCACTTCCCTCAACAAAGCCTTAACAATCTGGAGGCCAGGCTAGGCAGGCAGGAAGGGGCATGGTGTGGTCTCACTGTCACAGGAGCAGATGCAACATGGGGTGGCTGACTATGACTTCCACCCGCTTCACAGAAGTGACCTGTCCCCATCCAGAATATCCACAGCAGCAGCAGACAGCAGCTTGGTCAGACATGCCCACACGCTCCTGCACCACCTTCTACCATTCACTAGGTCTGAAGTCCGTTACAAGACTCGGGCTTTATTCACAGTTCTGGGGCTTATTAGGGAAATGGGCTGGGGAGATGAAGGGGCAAAGAATATCACCCAATGCAAGTTCAGGTTTCAGTTCAGCAAATCAGACCAGATTAACAGCAAGAGATGATAAGACAACTTCTCAGTCAGCCAAAGTCCAGGTTCAGTTCAGCAGCCCAAATGCAAGAAGCTTCTGATTTCCTCAATCATTCAGCAAACTTTTTCTCAGAGCGCTTATAAGTCAGCTTTTCCTTCAATCATTCAGCAAGCAAAACCTTTAACTGTGGTCTTTATCTCCAGGGTTCCTCTGGTTACACCTTGCCACGGTCTCTTCCCAGCAGTGCTCCAGTCTTTTCATAGTGATGTCACAGTCCCTCCACCACTGTCTCTCACAGTGTGGAAAGTGTTCTCTTATACTGGTTCCACAGCTGTTAACTGCAAGACCATGTGTCTGCAGTTAAGGTAGCTGGAGACCATGCCCCCAACAATGGGCGCTAATGGAATGGCTAGAAAAGCCAATTTTCAAGGGTCTGAAACCAATGGTCTAGACCTGTGGGGACCTAGACCTTGGCTGTGTTACCACCCTCCTCCTCTGCCCAGTTTGCTCGCCTAGAGAATGAAGGGGTGTGTCTGGAGAGGGCCTGTGTCAATACGGACTCACAGCAACCCCACGAGTGCAAAGCACAGCCATCCTGTAGGGTTTTTTAGAAGCAGTGCCAGGCCTGTTTTTCAGGGCATCATGAGGTAGGTTTGAACTACCAATCTTTAAGTTAGTAGACCAGAGCTTAACCATCTGCACTACACTGGAAGTCCGACTTGAACCAGTAGTCACACATTTTTTTTATTAGCTTTGATTTTCCCCCCCATTTATTCTCGTGTACCGTGGAATCGGATCTGACTGGCACAGGCTGCCCCTCTTTCTCCAGCGGAGCATCTGATGAATTTGAATCACAAACCTTCAAGATTGCAGTGCAGCTTCTTGCCACTAGGCCACCAGAGCTCCCTTTACCTTTGATTTTTATGGCTCTAAGTTTTCAATTTCAGGAAGTGACAGAACATTTCTTTCAAAATAAATTTGAGTTTGAAAGTAAGCCCACTTAAGACTGTTAAGTATATCATTATCATGGTGGTTCACAAACAGAACATTAAAGGTGAAGACAGTATGCAAGTGACTGAGACACGGAGTGTCTGTTTCAGAGGGTCTCTGAGGTCAAAAATCTTCTCCTCAAAGTTCTAAGATGCCATCGCCTTCTGCACTGTGTTAGCATTCACACAGTAAAGCAAAAGTGACGCCGGATGAAACCGCTGAGCATCTGCTACAATGCAACTCTGTGCTTCCAAAGCTAGTATTTATTGACCACGGGCTGGTTTGCCAGTCTGCACTAACATAAAAAAGAAATCCAATTGTCTAGTTCCCCTTAAGAATATCCTTAAAACACAAAGAGTGGGGGAGCTCTGGTGGCCTAGTGGCAAGGAGCTGCAACTACAATCCCAGAGGCGCACGGTTCGAATCCACCAGATGCTCTGCCGGGGAATGAGGGGCAGTCTCCTCCTGTACCAGTCAGATCTGATTTGACGGTACACTCACACAAAAATAATAAAATAAAATTTAAAAAAAAACCAACAACACAAAGAGCATGCTTTACTGACTCAAAGCCACCACCACAGAACCACGTCTATTTCGGGGACCTCGTCCCACAGGGTTTCCAAGGCGGAGTTCTTAGGGACGCAGACCCCCTCATCTTCCTACAGCAGGGCAGCTGGCCAGGTCAAACCATCAGCCTCTCAACTAGCAGTGAGCACTTAACACCTGGACCCATCTTTTTTATTATTCTGTGCCGTAAAACAGAGAATATGCATTGAAGTATTTATGTAGCATATGAAGGCAAGACGTCTGAAGAAGAGGCCCGTATTGTGGGTTAATAAGAATTATCTGGTGTTTTTCCTTGTAACATCAGTTTCACATGCAGGAATAACTGAGAGGCAATCTATGCTTACTCTCAAGAAGGAATGTCCTATGCAACCATTCTTGAAGGTAGTTTGGCCCCTCCTCAAAAGGCTGACCATAGAAATTCCATATGACTCAGCTAAGTGCATTTGAGATGGCTAGGTTGGCACAGGATAGACCAGCATTTAGAGCTCTTGTACATAGGGTCGCTATGAGTCGCAAGCGACTCGATGGCACATAACAAAAACAACAATTCCACTACTTGGAATATACCCTGGGAATATGAGAACTGAGGCACATACTGAGATTTGTACACTAATGTTCATAGCAACATTATTCAAGAACATGAAAACAGCCCAAACGTACAACCACAAATGAATGGATTGAGAAATTATGGTACATGCACACAATGGAATACTATGCAGCACACAGGAGCAATAACCTTGTAAATTATTACCTAACTTGGGAGAAACTGGAGAACATTATGCTGCATGAGTCCCACAAGGATAAATATTGTATAAGACTGTTACTGTAGAATGAGTATAAGGATCCAGGAGGGGTGGGAGAGGGTAGAAGCAGAGGGATGTGGATGTGCAGGTAGAAGGGGGGGATTCATCATTGGACTGTACAATTTGATTGGGGCGGGGTGAGAGAAATAGAATTTCTTCGAGTTTGTGGTGGTGGTGGTGTTATGTGCCATCGAGTCGCTTGCGACTCATAGCGACCCTATGTAAAACAGCCCTAAACTCTGCTCTGTCCTGTGCCAATTGCACCGTCTGATACACCCATCCCAATTATCCCAGTCACTGAATCAATCCACCTCATAGGGGGCCTTTCCCTCCTGCGCTGTCCCTCCACCCTACCAAGCATAATGTCCCTCTCCAAGGACCGGTCCCTCCTTACAACATGTCCAAAGTATGTTAGACGGAGCCTCAGAATCCTTGCCTCCAAGGAGCAGCCTGGTTTGACCCCTTCCAGGATGAATCTGTTTGTTTTCCTAGCAGTCCATGATACCCTCAATACTCTTCTCCAGCACCACAGCTCAAAGGCATCAATTCTCCTTCTATCATCCCTAGTCATTGTCCAGTTTTCTGATGTATAGCAAGTGATTGCAAAGACCATGGCCTGTATCAGACACACCTTAGTCTCCAGACTGACATCGTTGCTCTTCAGTATTTTGGAGAGTTCTCTGACAGCAGACTTTTCCAATGCAATTCATCTTTTAATTTCCTGGCTGTTGGTACCAAGAGTGTTGATTGTGGAGCCAAGCAAACTGAAGCTGTTAACAATTTCTATCTCTTCATCATCTATCATGATGCTGCCAACAGACCAGTGGTGAGAATCTTTGTTTTCTTTTTTATTTTTTTTCTTTGTTTTGTTGATGTTGAATTTCAATCCATATTGAAAGCTGCAATCTTTGACCTTCTGCAGCAAGCACTTCAGGTCCTTCTCAGTTTCAGCAAACACGGTTGTGTCATCAGCATAATGCAGATTGTTGATGAGTCTTCCTCCAATCCTGATGCCACATTTCTCTTCATAGAGCCCAGCCTCCTGGATAATCTGTTCTGCATATAGATTGAAAAGTATGGAGATAGGACAGTTTCTACCCCTAGTGGTAAGAAGATGCACTGCAATCCCAAAGGCGCTCAGTTCAAATCCACCAGCTGCTTCACTGGAAGATGGGCAGATTCCTCCTGTCCAATTAACTGCCTCTGAAAACATGCTGAAGGATAAGTCATGGGTCGGTTCTGACTTAATGGTGCACAACGATACAACCCACCAGAGGTAGAATGGTGAGGTTATCTGGTTCTGTAAAGATTTACAGCCTTGGAAACAATTAGTCCTAAGGCCTGGTGGACCATGGGACTCTCACCTCCCACAATGCTGAGATGAGAACTAGATGGTGCCCACTAGTGACTGCTCAGAAAGGGGTCACGCTGGAAGGTCCTCAAAGAACAGAACAAAAATGTGCAACAGAAGTCAAGATCACTTTAAAAAAAAATAAAATCAGGCTTACTGGGGAACCCGAGATTACAGCTCCAAGTTTGGAATCAAACTTACCCCCATTGCTCAATTTTCAGCTGTACAATAGAAAGGTCTATCTAAAGTGAGCAGAAGTCCTGGTGGCCCAGTGGTTAAAAGAAATCTAGCTGCTAATCAAAACGCTGGTGGTTTGAACCCACCAGAGGGAGAAAGACAAGCCTCCATAAAGATCTAAAGCCCAGGCAGCCTGTGGTGGTTCACTCTGCCCTATGAAGAACTCTCTAACAGGACAGCTCTAAGTCTTAGGTGCCTGGGTGGCCGCGGGTGCTTTATAAGATGAGCAACCACACTAAGGAGGCATGTGCTCCCGAGAACAATCAACTACCTGGGATCAAAGGGGCAGCATGTGCCCAAGGACAAAGTCCAGGGGCCAGGAAGGGAGAGGAGGAAAGGAGGGACAGAAAAGAGAAGCATGGCGGGGGGAGGCCGAGAGATGTGACACGGCGGGGACTGCAATCAACAGTACAAAACATGTACAACCCACTGAACAGACAACTGATTTACTCTGTAAACATCCACACTAATCACAATTTTAAAAAGAAACTGAATAAGAAAAACAAGGAAGTAACTTTTGCCAATGATTATGAAAAAGCTTTCTGTTAAAAAGAGAACTGGAATTTTAGCAAACTTGTGCATAACATGATGGGCTTGGAAGCTTCTCCATGCTGAAAGACCTTCCTGATGAGATGAACGGCAACACTGACAAACGCCAGTTTTTAATGTTGTTATGGGCCATCAAGTCACCCGTGACGAACAGGGACCTTACGCACAACAGCTCTGAACTCTGCTCCATCCTGAGCTAATCTCACTGTGTCCAACACATCAACCCCCATCCCTGTGTCAGTCCATTTCATACGGGGGCTTCCGCTCATGCATTGTCCCTCCACCTTTCTAAGCACGATGTCCTTCTCCAGAGATTGGTCCCTCCTGGCCCCATACCCGGAGCTGTAAGGAGAAGCCTGTTTTCACTCTCTCCAGTTCATGTTATGGTCAATACTCTTCTCCAGCACAATTCAAATGCATCAATTATTCTTCTGTCAATCCTACTCACCATCCAGCTCTCCAATGCATAGAAAATAATCGTGAAGACCATGGCCTGAATCAAGCACACCTGAGTCTCCTGACTGACATCGTTGCTCTTCAGCACTTTGGAAAAGTCCCTGAAAATAACTTTCCCAAGAGCAATTAATCTTTTGATTTCTTGACTGCCTGGGTCAAGAGTAATGCTTATGGAGCTGAACAAGTTGAAATTGTTGACAACCTCAATCTCTTCTCCATCTATCATAGTGCTGTCAATTGGCCAGTGGTGAGAATCTTTATCTTCTTGATGTTGAACTTCAATTCATATTGAAGGCTGTAGTCCTTGACCTTCTGCAGCAAGTGCTTCAGGTCCTCCTCAATTTCAGCAAGCAAGGTTATGACACCTGCATAATGTAGGCTGTTGCTGAGTTTTTACTACTGTTATCATAAAATTAACCTTGGGTGGCACTATAGTTAAAGGTTCAGCTACTAACTCAAGGGCTGGTGGTTCAAACCTAATCAGAGGTACCTCAGAAGAAAGGCCTAGTGGCTTGCTTCTGAAAGACTACAGTCATGGAAACCCTCTGGTATACTGCACTCCTCTCACACACACGGGTCACTATGAGCCAAGTCAACTCCATGGCAACTGGTTTGGTTTGGGTTTACAACGAAATGAGTTAATTCTGGGGTTACTGTTAGGTGCTGTTGAGTACAACTCATAATAGAGACCTTATGAACAAAAGATCTGAACCCTGTTCTATCCTGCGCCATCCTCACACTTCCTGACACACAAGAGCCCACTGCAGCAGTCACCGTGTCAATCCACCTGGTTGAGGGTCTTCCTCTCCTTCACCGATTCTCCACCCTTCCCAACATCATGTCCTTCTCCAAGTAATAGCCCTTCCTAGAAAGATGCTCAAAGTATGTTAGGTGAAGCCTCCAAAGAGCACTCTGGCTGCACCATCTCCAAGACCTATCTGTTCGTTCTCTTGACCATCCGTGGGATGTCCAGTGCTCTTCTCCAACACCACAGTTCAAAGGGGTCAATTCTTTTCCTATCATCTGTATTCACTGTCCAGCTCTCAGATGCACAGCAAGTAAACAAAAAGACCATGGCCTGAATCAGATGCACCTTAGTCCTCAAATTGACATCATTACTCCTCAATAATTTGGAGAGGTCCCTAACTGCAGATTTTCCCAGTACACTGTGTCTCTTTATTTCCTGACTGCTCATACCAAGGACGTTGGATCCAAGCGAGATGAAGCTGTTGACAGTTTCAATCTCCTTAGAAAACAGGTTAAGCTCCCTTTCCTGCACTTCATTTTATCTAGTTCTGCAAATACTGCGTTTTTGGTTTTTTTCCTTTAAACTGGGGTTTGCACCCAGCAATTTTTCTAATATTAGCTCACTTTATATCCCTCGCATTTTGGTATTTTTCAAGACAGTTCAAACATCTCCATAAGGTTATTATCGCACACTCCACAGACTACAGCACAGAACACAGTGCATGAGTCAACACGCTGGGAAATAAAGCCGAAATGCAGCCAACGTGCTTCATTGTGGTGTTCACTTGGCTGCCCTGGGCAGGAATAGAACCTGTGATGCTGCTGAGTTACTTACGTCAGAATGCTTGCCAAGATCAAGCACGGGGAGAAGATCCTTGAAAAGAGCACCACCAGCCTGAGGGACTGAGAGTCCACATCACAAGCAACACCCCAGAAACCACCGCTCCTCAAGGTTTGGTGCCGTATGCACCATACACAAAGATTACATGCTTTTAAAACAGTACCATCCTTCTGACTCAATTTTTTTTTAAAAAAAAATGTTATTTGTGTTAAAAAATGTTATGTTATATAAAAACACTAGATTTAGACATTTTTTAATAAACTAATATTCTGCCATACTTTGGTTATGTTGCAAGGAGGTACCAATCCTTGGAGAGAATGTTGGCTTGGGAGGGTAGAGGGACAGCGCAGGAGAGGAAGACCCTCGATGAGGTGGATTGACTCAGTGACTGGGGTAATGGGGGTGGGTGTATCAGAAACGATAAAGTTGGCACAGGATAGAGCGGGTTTCAGGGCTGTTGTACAGAGGGTCACTATGAGTCGCAAGCAACTTGACAGCACCTAACAACAGTATTTCTGACTTCATTTCTAACATGGCAACTGCAGATAGATACAATGCCATGCAAACCAAGCCTTTCTAGGGTTCCTCAGTAATTCTGAAGGATATAAAAGGGATATAAGGGGATCAAAGCGCCCAGAAGTGTGGAGGACAGACAAACCAGATCATTCTAAAGGCCCATTCAGCGCTAAAAACGTCTGTGGTTTATTTCTAGCTTCAGCCTCTCGGGCAATAGCGTATGACCTTTTGTAGAAAACAATCTGTCTTTGAACTTGTTCTCAATGGACCTCTTTCAGAGTCCTGCTTGGTCACACTGAGTTGTGTTAAACAGATTTATGTGCACAGTATTGCTAAGGAACACTTTATCCCCTGGTGCACGTGTGAGTTGTGAGTGTGCATCTTACACAACAGTCCAGCAGACTGTTAACATGCTCAGCTGCCAGCTGACTGCTAACAAGTCCCAGTCTCCTGACGGGCCTAAGAAGAAAGGCCTGGCGACCTACTTTGACAAAATCAGCCCCTGAAAACTCTCTGAAGCACAGTTCTGCTGACACACACGGGAACATCAGGTGTCAGGGTCCTCTGACTGCAGCTGGTTGGGGTTTATGTTATCCTTTCGTATAACACGCACAGGAGTTCTGGTGTAGGGCAATACACGTCGGGCTGTTAACTGAAAGGTCAGACATTTGAATCCACCAGCAGCTGCTCCATGAGATAAAGAGGCCTCACGGCCTCAGGAACTAGGGTAGGTTTGTTGGGGCCAGAATCATGGCGATGGCGGCAGGGGGTGTATCACATATACAAAGCTGTTTCCCAGCCAGATGGTCATGGTTTTAAGGGTAGGAATTATATTCTAAATATGCCAAAAACCAAGACAAATGCCTTCCATGGACTGTCAAGACCCACAGGTGGCTCTGTTCCAGACACTGATGATGTCATCTGACAGTCACCAAAGAGCGGTCAAGTGCTGACCCTTCAGTCTCCCCAACAACCCCACCAGACAGAGAAAGAAATCAAGGCTGGAAAACAGAAGGTAACTCGGTTACTGTGGCCAAAGCCACAGGCAGCAGTTAGAGATGCTCTTTCCCCCCTCACCCGACAAGTGCAAAGCGAGGGGCACTGGAGGCAAAGGCCTGCAGTGCAGAGGAACGAGACGTTATTTTGGGCAGAGGAGGGGCCATGGAAGGCTTCCTGGAGGAGGCAGCTTCCGAGGGAAGGAGAAGGGGCGCTGTGGGAGGGTGGTGGCAGGAGTACGCAGGGCCAGCGCATGGTGACACATGGTGCGGGCTCACCGACATGGCCAGGTGCAGCGGGGTGTTGCCGTGCTGGCCGCGCGCGTCGGCGTGGGCCCCGTAGGTCAGCAGCACCATCACGCACTCAAAGCGGTTGCGCATCACGGCCACGTGCAGGGCCGTGTTCCCCTCGGAGCTGGTGCTGTTCACGTCGCAGCCTCGCTTCAGCAGCATACGGGCCATCTGTGGGAAAGGGGGTGCAGCCGCATTAGCGGGCACTTGGAGAGCAGCAGGCTCTGCTACACAGGGTGGCACCAGCCACTGCCCCTCCTTTCTGAGGGGCCCCCAGAGAACAGGCCTCGGAAAGCTTTGGCCACAGGAGAACTCAAGTGCAGGATCCAATTCTAGGGGTGGCCTGAGGCCATCTGCCTTAGCGGCCTTCCTGGTCCAATCCCTCCCTGCAAAGGCACTTGTAGAGTCCATCCAGAACTGTCCCCATTCCTGCAGCGCCCCAGAACCCTAGCCCTCCTCAGACCTGCCAACACCGTCCTGCCCCCAGGAAGCCTGGCTGAAGGGAAAGCGCTGAGGCTTTGGGGCCTGAGCTCTAGCCCATGTCCCCCGTCCTGGCTGCTTCAGCCCAGGTGGCCTTGCAGCCCTCTTCACCTCACTTTTCCCTTCTGTGAAGGTGAGGATGTGCATTCCTATCTTTCTGCGTGTGGTGACAATCCATGAAGCAGCCTGCATGAAAAGCCTGGAGTAGTGTCTGGCTCCAGGCACACGAAGGCACGGAGCAGAGGAGGCAGGCTCCTGCCCTGGTCTTCCCTCTGAGGCTGGCCTGAACTGCTTAAGGGAACCCAGTGCACTACTGTGTTATCCTTTCAGGCGGGCGGCGAGGGCCACCATCCTTCCTGGGGGATGGAGCATGGTGGCCCCATGCAACACACCAAAAGAGATGCACAGCCAAGCTCTTGTGGGGGGCTGGATCCTCTGTCATCACCACCATCGTCACCACACTGCCTTTGCGAGGTGCTTGACAACCTGTGCATTTTCTCATGGTCTTCTCATGCAAGCTCCCTCCTCCAGGTAGCCTTCCCTGATGATTCCAGAGGTGGGCACACATTCATCCCAGCTCATGCACAAGGAAACTGAGGGTCAGAGGAGAACCTGCCACCCTATCCACCCCATGCACAGTGCCTGTGGATCTCTATGAGATCAGGCCCCTTAAATGCCAACCTTCAGGTCCTCCTGGGAGCCCTACCCCTCCCTCGCCCTCAGACTCTGCCCACCTCTGCAGTCTTGGCCCAGTGCAAGGGGCTGGCTCCATAGCGGGGGTCTTTGCTGTGGATCTGGTTGCAGTCCATGTTGATGATCATCTCAGCACACCTGAAGAGAGGGGGTCACGCCAGTGAGGACAGGCGGGGATAGGCCTGGCACTGAGGGAGGCCATTACTCCGGCCTTCCTTGCAAAAGGCAGGCTGCAAAAGCACCAACAGTCATGCCCACTGTGTATGTCTGGGATGTGCCGAGCCTTGGAGACACATTCAAGCCCCCCTCTCCAGGCAGTCTTCCCTGATAACTCTCTCTTGCTAATGCTGGTATTGGATTCAGACAGGCCAAAGCCCAGCCCCAGCTGCTCACAGGTGACTGGGGGGGCCTCTGCAGCACAGGCTGTTATGAACCGAACTGTGCCTCCCCAAAAAGACAGGTTATAAATTCTCACTCCGATAGCTGTGGTGATGATCTGGTCTGGGAATGGGTTTTCTGTGTTATACCAAGAGGCCAAGTCAGTGTAAGGGGAGGAGCCCTGGTGACACAGCAGTTAAAGCGCTTTGCTGAGAACTCCAAGGAGGAAGCAGAGGCTGTTTGCCTCAGTAAGGATTTACAGCCCTGCAGGTCCAACTCTACTGTCCTGTAGGGTCTCTAGGACGTAGCATCAACCAAACAGCAATCGGCTGGTTTTTGTTTTTCAGTATTGGTCATGTTTGAAGCTAATCAGCCCTGAGATGGAAAAGGAAAAGATCAGACTCAGACAAGACACAGAAATGAGAAGAAAATACCACACCACACGAAGCACAAGAGCCAGCAGAGAGACAAAGTCACCCCAGAGCTCGGCCCTGAGTTTGCACTGCTGGCCTTTGACACCATGAGAAAGAAATCTGCTTGTCAAAGTCGCCCACTTCCAGTATTTCTGTCCTAGCAGCACTAGCTGGCTAAGACAGGGCCCTGGCAGGATCAGTGGGGAGTAAACAAGACAATGCATTTTTGTGTTGAGTTCTGTGCCAGGCACACAGCTGACTCTTCCACCACGTACTGTTGGTGCTTCACTAATCAGCCTGCCTAGACGGCGGGCTGATGGTGAAGGGAGCAGCTGTAGGGCCAGCCTGACATGAGTTATATGACCTCAGGCAAGGTACCTCACATCCCTCGGTGTTGGTTTCTACATCTCGAAAACTGGGCAAAGCCTGCTTCACTGGGTGGGTGTGGAATGGCTCGTGGAAGGCTGAGCCCGGGGCTGGAGCACCGTGAGTTACAGGTCAGTTGATGCTGAGTTAGCCGCACAGTGTCAGGGCTGATGGAATTTAATCACTGACTTCTTCATTCATTCTCGAAACTGTTCTTGCTGGTAATAATCTGAGTTGTTCATCTCTCTGCTCCTCTTTTTCCCATTCCTCCACCCACACCACATCTCACACACACACACACACACACACACACACACACACACACACACACACAGAGAGAGAGAGAAAGAAAAAGAGAGAGAGAAAGAGAAAGATAGAGGAGGGTGGGGAGAGAAGCGTATTTCTAAGTGCAGAGAGAGAGAGAGAAGTGCAAAGATTCCCAGATTTGGGGAACAGGACAGAAACAAGAGAAAGCTCTGTTGGCGGTGGTGGGCGCCACTGAGTCAATTCCAAGTCACAACGACTCCATGTGACAGAACACAACTTCCCAAGGAGTTTTCCTGGCTATAGGGAGCTCTGGTGGCCTAGTGGCAAGAAGCTGTGCTGCAATCCCAAAGGCATGCCGTTTGGATCCACTAGCTGCTCTGCGAGAGAAAGATGGGCCTCTCGTGTGATTAACTGCCTCCGAAAACCTCCTGGAGGGTCAGCTATGGGTTGGTTCTGACTCTACGGCACACAACAACAACAATCTTTACAGAAGCCGAGGGCCAGGTCTCTGAATGAGCAGTTCAGCACTGACCTGCTGTGCCACCACGGCCCTTCTCAAGAGTGCTCTCATGTTCCCTAAAAGCAGGTGTCTGGCCCAGTCTCCCAGCAGGTCATGAGTCAGGACCAGGAGGAAGCATCTAGGTGTCGGGCCTGGGGCCACACTGTCAAGTACGCCCAGCAGAGAAGCCACAGTGCCTTGCTAGCAGGAGGTGTCTATACCAGGCTGGTGGCCCTGTGGATGAGGGTCCAGGCCTGATGGTTCCCTGCAAACCTTGGGGATGCCTGAGACTCCAGGCCCAGAGCACCGCCCAGGGATTGGTGAGGGGGTCCCAAGAAGGGCCAAGACTGCATTTCTCCAGTTTGGGACAGGGAGACTTGTGTTTAGAAATGACATTGAATTCTAGAGAAAACTACTGGTTTAAATTCAGGAAATGTATGTAACAGAGTTGTATCCTTTAACTAAACTTACTCCATCTGCACACTGAACAAATGATGTAAGAAGCTGAATGGTATGAAGAAGATGAGCTCTGGTGGCCTAGTGCGTAAGGAGTCACGCTGCCAACCTAAAGGCAGGCAGTTCAAATCCACCAGCTGCTCCAAGGGACAAAGATGGGCCATCTCCTCCCGTGCGATTTACAGCCTCTGAAAACCCACTGGAGGGTCAGCTCTAAGCTGGGTCCAACACAACCTCACACAACAAGAGCAGCAGCATCACGACCGGAGGAAGGCCTGTTAGCAGCCTCCAATCATGACCCAGTCGTGACCGCTCAAAGTGAAGGGGAGCCGAAGCACTTGAAGCTCCTCCGCATCGGGGACAGAAAATCCTCAAACTGAACTAACAATAATCAGCAGCAAATACATGGAAAAAACGCTCAAAGTGACCAAAGACTACACTTCCCTTGGCTCCACAAGCAACACTCACGGAAGCAGCTGTCAAAAAATTAAGTTATCTCTGTAGATGTTCATTGAAATAAAAAATAAGTAAGTTAAAATATTGAAAAAATACAAAAAAAATTAAGTTATACTGCACAAGGTCAATCTGCTACCAAAGGTCTCGTTATGTGCCGTCAAGTTGCCTCTGACTCCCAGAGACCCTAATCCCTGCTCTATCCTGCACCAATCTCACTGTCTCCAACACACCCACCCCAATTACCCCATTCACTGAATCAACCCATCTCTTCAAGGATCCTCCACTCTTGCACTGTCCCTCCACCCTCACAAGCATGACGTCCCTCTCGAAGGACTGGTCCCTCCTTGCAACATGTCCAGAGTATGTCAGACAAAACTTCAGAATCCTTGCTTCCAAGGAGCAGCCCGATTTAACCCTCTCTAGGATGAACCTGTTTGTTTTCTTAGCAGTCCATGGTATATTCAATACTCTTCTCCAACACCACAGCTCAAAGGCATAAATTCTTCTTCTATCAGCCCTAGTCATTGTCCAGCTCTCTGACATATAGCAAGTGATTGCAAAGATCATGGGCTGGTGTCAAAAACCAAAGGTGGCTTTGAGGACTAAGGTGTGCCTGACCAAGGCACGGCATTTTTAATTATCTCATGCATGCAAAAACTGGACAGGTTACCAGGAGAGACAAGTCCCTGAAGAGGGACAGCATGCTTGGCAAAGCAAGAGAGTCAATGAGAAAAAAAAAGACCCTCAAAGACATGGACTGCCAGTGAGTGTCCCAATGGGTCCCAGGACAGCAGCAGGCACAGTGAGAGGGGTGCGGGGTCAGGCAGCATCACTGCATCAGAACTAAAAACCACCACAAAAAAAAAAACTCCAGGATGTACACACCCTGCCCATTTACCACTCAGTTCTGGCCTCGGATCAGGCCACCCTGCTGGGTAGCAGCGAGGCTGCTGGGACTGGACCCCCTGATCTGACACTTGGTAGACCCTGCTCACCTCAGGGGGATGACTTACTCTTTGTGGAATAACCTCACAGCAGCGAGGCTGGGGGCCTGGAGCTCCTGATCTGACATGCGGTGGACCCCTACGCACCCTGGGTGATGACTTACCCCTTCTGGGAGAACTTCACAGCAGCGAGGCTGGTGGGACTGGATCTGCTAATCTGACATGCAGTGGACCCCTGTTCACCTCAGGGCGATGACTTACCCCTTCTGGGAGAACTTCATGGCCGTGTGGATGGGGTAGCCGCCGGGCCCCACGACGTTGCAGCGGGCGTTACAGAGCAGCAGCACACGCACCATCTCCTGCTTCCCCATCTGGCAGGCCACGTGCAGCGGGGTCAGGCCCTCGTTGTTGGCCTGGTTCAGGCCAGTGGACGTGGTCTTGCCTAGGAGCTGACGGGGCACATGGGGGTGGGCTGGAGCCCACATGCAGAGAGGACCCCGCACATTTCCTCCCTGACACCCTCACAGGGTGGAACGGGCAGGGAAGGCCCATTCCATGGCCATGGGGACTCAAATGAGGCTCTGGGAGAAGACAGAGGCCGACTGCCCCAATATGGACTGGACGCTGTTCTTACATGCCTGTGGCTTATCCAGAACCTTTCTGAACTGACACACTCTAAAAGATGCCTGTTCCTACAGCTGTTGCTGGGGTCTAGGAGGCAGTGGTACTTGCCTTTCATTAGATGATAGTAGTACTTGTACTTCTGATCTGTTTGTTTTTCATATATGTTCATATTTCCTAATTTTAAACCATGTCGTTTTCCCTTGCTCTGTTCGCACAACAGCCTCTTGGTCTAGGCACAGGCTGCATCTGAGAGCTGAACAATGAATGACTAGGAATGACAGAAGAACTGACGCGTTTGAGCTGTGTTGCTGAAGCAGAGCACCGAATATGCCATAAATTGCAAAAAAACCCAGATATGTCTGGGGGAAAAAGTCATCCAGAATGTTCCTTGGAGGCAAGGATACTGAACAAATACGTCTTGGCGAAAGTGCAGCCAGCATGCTCCTTGGAGGCAAAGAAGATGAAGCTTCGTCTTATATACTTTGGGTTGTTGCTAGAAGCAGTTACTCCTTGGAAAGGGACTTCAAGCTTAGAAAGGTGGAGGGGCAGCAAAAGAGCAAAAGAATGGAAGACCATCAACCAGGTGAGTTGACACGGTTACTGCAATGGACTCAAGAATGTCAGAGAGTGTGAGGACGGCACAGGACGGGACAGTGTTCAGACTGGTAATTCACTGGGTCACTAGAAGTTGTATTCAACTCAACAGCATCTAACAACTTGTGTTTATATTGAAGCTCTCAAGGCCTAGTGAGTAAGAAGTTGCACTGCTAACCCAAAAGCAGGCAGTTCAAAGCCACCAACTGCCCCAATGGAGAAAGATGGGCAATCTCCTCCATGTGATTTATAGTCTCTGAAAATGAGTTGATTTTGACTCAATAACATGTAATAGGAACAACTTATGTTTGTATTATTGTCTTCCATCAGAAAATAGAAGTTTTAAAAAATATCAGTATTGCTTCCTTGCTTTAGGCTGAAGGCTGTGTCACTGAGGTTTCTGTAAGTCTACTGTGCGCCTGAGCAACCCAGGACCATGTCACGATGCCAGTGTTGAGGCTGAGGTGCAAGAGAGAGGCCCTTAACTCACTTCTCTGGACTTGCTGATCTTCTCTGGTTCTCTGGCAGGAAAAGGCACATATGTAAACACCATTTTGAGAATTAAAGCAAAGCATAGACAATGCTCAGGACAGTGCTAGGCACAAGGCCGGCCCTGGATGAAAGACAGCTAGGGTTGTGTGTGACCACAGGCCAAGCCTCTGCATTGAGTCTGGGGTGCACTGGTCGGCTCAGTGCAGATGAGCCATCCCCAGCCCGAAGGTGCTGATCACGCAACAAAAATCCACGTGTTCTGGGATAATATAGCTCCCTTCCAATCCTAGGGAAAAAATGATGTCCAATGTTTTCTTGGACATCTTTGCCTTACCACCACCCACACTCACCCACCGTGGTGTCAAGGGTTTACTGTTCAAAGTGGCTTTCGTGAGCACTGACTTTGACTCTGCAACACGGATGGGCAGGATCACACACACAGAGCGTGTTAGTCTATACATAAGGGGACTGGCTAGTTTCACCATCCCACTAGGTGTAAATGATGCAGTTTCAGCAGCAGAAATTGAGAATGTATGATTAGACATTATCTGTCTAGAAACAGTCCAGAATAAGGTGCACAGCACAGTGGACTGGGGAGGGGGGAGGAAATTATGCAACATGAATATTTTTCTTAAAAGTGAACTAGGTGGGGTAAGGAGGAAAATGTGCAACAATGAGTGAATAAAAATACAACTTTTCTGTAAACTTTCATTAAAATCACAATAAAAAAGGAAAGAAAGCAAAAAGAAATTGATACTCTAAACAGCAAGAAGGAAGTGAAGGCAGCACACATCCTTCAGGGCTTGAAATGCTTGCGCCAGGCACACTGGGATCTACACAAGAGCAACAGCAGCCTCGGCAGAGGACCAGAGAGTGACATGCGGCAGAGCTGACTCGGGACTGCAGCCCCACTGAACTGGAGCCAGGCGAGAGAAGGTGTCGTAACTGGCAGGACTAAGGAACTCTGTAACACTGACCTCAGCTGAAAGGCCTGCAAGCACACTTGAGTAGCAGTCTGGACTGAGGGACCATATCCTGCTACCAACCTGAATTATAGCCTGTTAACTTCCCGAATAAACCCCATAACCATGCACATGGCTCTGTGAAGTCTGTATAGACAATGTAATGAATTCCAGACCCAGGAGAGAAGCAAGCTTGCTGTTGAAATTAGTAGAAGTTGGTGCAGGAGCAGGGTAGACCATGCCTTTTTGCATTGTGGATGTTGTTGATGGGGACAGTTGCCCTTTGTAGAGCGGTCAGACTTGGCCATCTCCATGCTGCCTATGCTCATTTTACATTAAGACATTTCTATCCCTGGTCCATTCTCCTGCTCAGGTAATCAGAAAATCAGCAGGAGTGCCACTGGCATAAATGTTCTGGAAGCTGGAGGAGATGTTGTCTGGTTTTTGTTCCTATACCATTTTAAGTTCAAGTTCCCTGGACCATGAGCTCCTTCAGGCAGGAGCTGAAATTACTTGGGCCAGCCCAGGGGTCTGGCACATGGCAGGTGCTCAGGAAAAGCTGCACTAAACAGACTGACTAGAATTTGGCTTTGAGGTTTTTTTTTTTACTGGTTTGATGATATCTATGGGGTTGTCAGAGCAATGTGGCTGGGAATATGTGTCCTCTACAGTGTGGGGAGGAGTATAGGAAGGTTCGCAGGACTCAAAGAGGGGACAGTGAGAGGCCGAGAGGTGACACTGGTGACAAAGGGTCCAAGGAGAACCACGGGCTTAATGAGGTGTGGTCAGCATGGGGCCCTGCCCCTCCAGGCCCGCTCACCTGCAGCACCTGGGGGTTGTCACCCTGCACAGCGTAGTGGAAGACAGTCTCTCCGTGGTTGTCGGTGGCATCTATCTGGGCATGGCAGTACTGCATCAGCTCCACCAGCATCTCCCCGTCGCCCTTTCGGCAGGCCAGGTGCAGGGGCGTGCAGCCCTCCTCATTCTCCCTGCTGTTGGCAGAGCTGCAGGGGGCAGGGGAGACGGGCAGGTCAGAGGCCAGGTGGGAAGGGACATGGAGCCACCTAAGCAGGGGCAGGGACGTGGGCTGGGGTTTGACAGTCCTGTCTGACTTGGGCGGAAACCCAAACACAGTGTGGATTTTTACTCCCTCTGCACTTGGAGGCATTTGTACCTGGATGGCCCATGGCCACACCAGCATAAAGGGGCAGGAGGGCGACACCAAAAGGGTCCCAAAACGCTGAAATCTCACCAACCTCGGACAATTCACTTAATCAATGGACGATTCAATATCCTTATCTAGAGCAATATGAAAAGGAAATGTACACCTATTGTGCCTGACACCGTGAACGGACAGGATGGTCCCTTGGAAACCACATGGAGAACTCTCCACAGAGGGTAAAGGCCAGACATCAAGAGCGTTTCTGCTAACTGTTCAATGGGTGAGGACTCTGAGCCTTGGCCTGGAGGCAAGGGGGCTGCTGGGAGCAGGGGGCCGGAGGTGCGTTTGCCTCGGAAGGACTTGTGGGAAAGGCCAGCTCACTGCTGATGGCGCTGCAGGGGGAATGAGCAGGTGAAAGGCCACCTAGCTCCCAGAAGGACAAATGGATCTTTGAGGGGTGCCACTAAGAGCGGGAAGCTTCATAGGTCACAGCCCCTCTCTTCACAGCACCATACTCCTTGAGGACTAAATTCCATGGTGGGCTCGAACTTTGGACATTCTCACAAACTCTACATTTCTCTTTCTCACTCTACTTTGGACATGTTGCAAGGAGGACCAGTCCTCAGAGAGGTACGTCATGCTTGGGAGGGTAGAGGGACAGCGCAGGAGAGGAAGACCCTTGATGAGATGGACTGACCGAGTGAGCAGGGTGCTGGGGTAGGTATGTCAGAGAAAGTACGATTGGCACAGGATAGAGCAGGGTTTAGGGCTGTTGTACACAGGGTCGCTATGAGTCGCAAGCGACTCGATGGCATATAACAATGAGAAGTCCCCATTATTTCCTGGGAATCATGTGAGTATCAGCGTTCTTGAGTTCTAACCCACAATCCACTCGAAGCCTTGAGAACCTCTGAACAGAGAGAGAGGACCTGAGGTGGGATCGAGAGCCCCCCACACGTACTCAGCATGCACATGCACACGGGCAGTGCCCACCCTGGCTCTGTTGGCCCCTCTCACGTCCCCTGGCCCTGCTCACCTGATGACTCGGCCGTGGTGGAAGCACTCCCGGATGCCCAGCTCCACCGCCATGTGGGCCACCGACCAGCTGGGGTGGTTGCGGATGAGGTCGGTCAGCTGCTGGAGGACCTCGACCTGGAGGACCTGGGGCGAGCTCTCGTAGAAGGGCGGCAGCACGGCTGAGAACTGCTGGAAGCTGGTCAGGGCGCTGGTATCAGAGTCCAGCTGGAAGAGCCTGTGGGGTCAGGATGGTGGAAGAAGGCACAGCAATGAGGCAGAGGAATGACCCCACAGACTCCAGCTCCAGCTGACGCCCCTCCCCACCACATCCACACTCATCTATCCTCAGGAGTCTGGGCTTTCCTCCCACGTGAAGAGTTCCTTTTCTTTACCACATTTTCCTATTTTATCAAAGCCTTGCCATGTCCACTAATTTGACTATCACATCGGAGAGCCATTGAGTGATTCCAAGTCATGGTGAACCCATAGGACAGAGCAGAACGGCCCCACCGGGTTTCTGGAGCTGCCGTCTTCACGGAGGAGGAGACCTGGTGGTGCAGTAGTTAAGCACTCCACTCTCACCAGGAGGCTGGCCTTTCTGAATCTGGCCAGAAGCCATGGCATCTGCTTCGGTCTGATTGTTGTTGTTGGTAGGTGCCGTGAAGTCAGCCTCACAGCTATGAACAGACCTGAACCCTGTCCTAGCGTCATCACTTCGACACTCTAGAGCCCGCTGCTGCAGTCCCCATGTCAATCCATCTCGTCGGGGTCTTCCTCTCCTTCAGTGAAGCTCCACCTGTCCAAGCATGATGTCCCTCTCCATGGATCAGCCTCTCCTAGCAACATGCAAGTACGTAAGACCGAGCTTCACCTCCCGTGCCTCCCAGGAGCATCTGGCTGCACCCTGTCCAAGACATAACAGTTTGTTCTTCGGCAGTCCATGAGACATTTGGAACTCTTCAACATCACAGCTCAGAGGCATCAATTCTTCCTCTATCATCCTCATTCATTATCCAGCTCTCGGATGCACGGCAAGTGACTGAACAAATTACAGCCTTGGAATGAGTAGGTCCAGCTCCATGTTCCCTACACGGAGCCTGTGAGTCAGCGTGGACTCCACGGAAGTGAGCTTGGGACCGGTGAAGGAGGCAACTCTCCAGGTCTTCCTCTCACAGAGCCACTCGGTGGGCTGAGATCACTAACCTCTCTGTTGGCAGCTGAGTGCTTACCCAGTGCACCACCAAGGCCTCTTTTCCCGCACACACAGCAAGAACTTAAAAAATATCCAAATGAACTGTCTAACCATAAAATGTTAAATCCAGAGGTGTATACCTCTGGGGTGGAACTTTACTGAGTTGTTAAAACATTAAAAGAATGTGAAGGACGGGAAAGGCAACATCCAGAAAGGGACCCATCAGACCTTTAATGACTCAATTTCACTCATTAACTGTAGGTAATATCATATGAAAATGTGTGTGAATGTGAAACCGGTTTGTAAATACATTCAAATCATAAAAGAGAAAAACAGAGGAATGTTTACCTTTGTACTATTAGTTTTAAAAAGCAGGATATATAAATTAAATGTTCTAAACTTTTTTAAAAGTACAGAAAAAGACCAGAAGGAAGTAACACCAATACATTCCAGGGTTCTGACAGCATTTAATATACTGTAAGTTCTGTCCTGTGAACCCTAACATCACTACAGCCAGCAGGGCCAGCAGAGGCAATGTCCAGAGAGTTGTGGGTCCAGCCCTGTCCGCCACTCTCAAGTCAATTTTGACTCAAAGTGACCCTTCCCCTGGTTTCTGAAGCTGTGGATCTTTATAGAGACTACCCATCCTTCTCTCTGGAGCATCTGTGGATTTGAACTGCTGATCTTTGTGTCAACAGCATAATACTTAATGCACTACACCACTAGGGCTCCTTGGCTCCAGACCAGAAAGGACAGCTACTTAACAAATACCTACTGAATGCCTGCACTGAGCCTAACACTATTACCACTGAGGGTTAAACTAGTGACAAAACAGACACAGTGCTCTGCCCTTTGCAGTCTATTTCCTTTTGGGGGGTCTGTTGTTGTTATGTGCCACTATGTCACTTGTGACTCATAGCAATCCTACATACAACAGCTCTGAACCCTGCTCTATCTTGAGCCAATGTTATTGTCTCCAACACACCTACCTCCATTACCCCAGTCACTCATCTCATCTAAGGCCTTCAATCCATTTCATTCAGGGTCTTCCTCTTTTGCACTTTCCCTCCACCCTTTCAAGCATGATATCCTTTTCCAAGGATTTGTCCCTCCTGGCAATATGCTCAAAACATGAGAGACAGAGCTTCAAACCTCTAGGACAGGCATCGTTGCTTCTCAGTACCCTGGAAGGGTCCCCGACAGCAGATTTACCTAATGCAATTTGTCTTTTGATTTCCTGACTGCTGGTACCAAGACTGTTGATTGTGGAGCTGAGCAAGCTGTAACTGTTAACACTCTCAATCTCTTCTTCATCCATCATGGTGTTGCAAATTGGCCCAGTGAAAAGAATCTTTGTCTTCTTGATGTTGAGCTTCTCTCTGTATTGAAGACCACAGTCCTTGACCTTCTACAGCAATCACTTCAGGTCCTTCTCAGTTTCAGCAAGCAAGGTTATGTCATCTGCATAACGTAGGTTGTTGATGAGTCTTCCTCCAATCCTGATACCACATTCCTCCCCATAAAGCCCAGCCTCCCGAATGATCTGTTCTGCATATAGAGTGAAAAGGTAAGGAGATGGGATGCATCTCTGATGCACTCCCCTCCTGATTTTGAACCATGCAGTGCTTCCCTGCTCTATTCTGAAGACTGCTTCTTGGTCCAAGTACAGGTTTCACTTAACTGTCAGTCTAGAGACTAAGGTGCACCTGATCCAGACCATGGTGTTAGCAACTACTTGCTATGCATCAGAGAGCTGGACAATGACTATGGATGACAGAAGAATAGATATCTTTAAGTTGTGGTGCTGATGAAGAGCTTTGAATTTACCATGGACCGCCAAGAAAACAAATAAGTCTGTTTTGGAGAGGGTGAAACCAGTTTTCTCCTTGGAGGCTAGGATTTTGAAGCTCTATCTCACATACTTTGGGCATGTGGCCAGGAGAGACTGATCCTTGGTGAAGGACATCATGCTCAGAAAGGTGTAGGGACAGAGCAGGAAAGGAAGACTCTGGATGAAATGGATTGATACAGTAACTAGGTCAATGGGGGTAGGTGTATCAGAGTCAGTGAGACTGGCTCAGGACAGGGCAGGCTTCAGAGCTGTTGTACATAAGGTCACTATGAGTTGCAGGCAACTCGATGGCACATAACAACAAGAAGACAGACCGACCACGATATTTCCAACACTGTTCTCCAGCACCACAGCTCAAAGACACTCATTGTTCTTCTATGATCTTTAGTCATAGTCAAACTCTCTGATGTATAGCAAGTTAATTATGAAGACCATGGCTTAGATAAGACACATCTTAGTCTCTAGGCTGATATTATTGCTGTTCAGTACTCTGGAAAGATCTCTCATAGCATATTTCCCCAATGCAATTATCCTTTTGATTTCCTGGCTGTTGGTATCAAGAGTGTTGACTGTGGAACCAAGGAAGCTGAAGCTATTAATAATCTCAATCTCTTCTCCATCTATCATGATGATGCTAATAGGGCCAATGGTGAGAATCTTTATTTTCCTGATGCTGAGTTCCAATCCATATTGGAAACTGTGCTACTTGACCTTTTGTAGGAAACATCTCATGTCTTCCTCAGTTTCTGCAAGCGAGGTTGTGTCCTCTACATAATACAGGTTGTTGATGAGTCTTCCTCTAATCTTAATGCCACATAAATCCAGCCTCCCGGGTGATTTGTTACATATACAGATTAAAAAGTATGGAGATAGGATGCATCCCTGGCATACACCTTTCCTGATCTTTTTTTTTTTTTTATTTTATTATTTTTCTGTGAGTGTACCGTCAAATCAGATCTGACTGGTACAGGAGGAGATTGTCCCTCCTTTCCCGGCAGAGCATCTGGTGGATCTGAACCGTGCACCTCTGGGATTGTAGTTGCAGCTCCTTGCCACTAGGCCACCAGAGCTCCCCTACCTTTCCTGATCTTGAACCATGCAGTGTTTCCTTGCTCTGTTTTTATGACTGCCTCCAGGACTGAGTATAGGTTTCTCATAAACACAATCAAATGCTCTAGAATCCCCATTCTTCTCAAGGTTAGCCACAGTTTGTAGTGATCCACACAGTCAAATGCCTTTGCACAGTCAGTAAAACACAGACATTCCTCTAGCACTCTCTGCTTTCAGCTAAGATCCATCTAACATTGGCTGTAATGTCCATAGTACCACAGCCTCTTCTAAATGCAGCCTGCACATCTGGCAGTTCTCTGTCAGTGTGCTGTTCCAGTCATTTTTAGATAATTTTTACCACAATCTTGCTTGCATGTGATAGAAATTATATTTTTTTTATCATTTCCAGGTTCTGTTGGGTCACCTTTTTTGGAATGTGAATAAGTATGGATCTCTTTCAGACAGCTGGCCAGGTTGTTGTCCTCCAGATTTCTTGGCACAACTAGGGCAGCATCTGTTTGCTGAAATATGTCAACTGGTATGCTGTCAATTCTTGGGCCTTTGTTTATTGCCAATTCCTTCAGAGCAGCTTGAACTTCCTCCTTCTTTATCATGGGAGGTAGCGTCCTCTGTATCGAGCTGAGCTGCCAACCCAAAGGCCAGGCAGCTCCTGTGCTTTGAATCCACCACTGGCTCCTTGGCAGGAAGATGGGCGACACCTTCCTGAGGAGTAACTGCCTTGGAAAACCGGACAGGGTGGCTGACTCGGCATCAAGTCTTCAGCGGTGAGTTATGTTTCAAGATGATCTGCTTGAAGGCGTCACAGAAATGACCGGACTGGAATCAAGGAATGAAGAAAACTCAAGGACATGAGCTCAGCATTTAGGGCTTCTGTTCTCAAGAGTCGCTGAAAGCAGCAGTGACACCATTAACAGTTTCATGAAACTAGGAACAAAAACAAACAAACAAAACCCACGAAAACGAAACCCCATCATCAAAATGATTCCAGTTCATGGTGGCCCGCTACTGGCTTTCTGAGGCTGTAAATCTTAAATGTAAGCAGGAGAAGACTGCTTATCTCCGGTATGCAAACGACTAACCTCTCAGCAGCCCAACACAAAACACACTTAAGCACCAGGGC